ACAAAATTATCGTACTCCACTCATAATAATATGCCTAAAGATATGATTAGTACAGCCAGAAGAAAATTTGAAAATGAAATTGTAACATCGGAATTCACTAAGAGGTTTAATAAATATATTAACAGAAGTTTAAATTCCAGTATCTTACATATTTCTCTAAAAGACCAAAATAATTGTAGATGACAATTTAATAGGTGCTAACCTTGCAGAGCAATTTAATAAATCATTTTCCCATAATTCGACCAGCGCCCTCCCACATCTGGCTCCTGAAACAAGAATCATCAATAGCATTGAATGAATAGAGTTTACAGAAGAAAAGGTATTCGCTGCATTAAATAAAGTCCAGTCTAGGCCCTGATAATATTCCGACAATATTTCTTCAGAAGTCTGCAAATTTACTTTCACTACTTGCGTCAGCGTATCAGAAACTTATTGACACTGGAGTTATGCCAGAAGATTGGAAAAATGCAGTTGTGACACCTGTATTCAAGAAGGGAGACAGGAACTTAGCAGCGAACTACCAGCCTATCAGCCTTACGTGTAATCCCTGTAAGTTTATGGAGAGAATTATTCGAGAAATTATTGTTGAAGATCTGACTGCATTTTTTGTTAAAAACAATATAATAACACTAATAACACCCACGCTACATGGCTTTATTCCGAAACGATCCACAACAAATCTGCTAACTTGCCTTGATCACTGGACAACAAATCACGACACCTCGCAACCAACAGACGTTAGTAGTAGTAGTAGTAGTAGTAGTAAATATGCTTTATTGTCCAAGAATACAAAAATCTTATTGACAATGCTAACCTAACTTAAATTAAATTTTACAACTAAACCTAGAAGCCAGCAAGTCAGAATATCAATCAAATTAAAATTACCGTAGGCAATAATTTACAAAAATAATAAATACATTCATTTAACACAACATTTCTTGACATAGGTTTCAAAGACTATAGTGGACGCAACAAAAAAAAAAACCTTTATTTAGTAGGTATGTCAGTCAAATTAAGATAAATAAATAAATAGGTAAAATATAAAACAATACAGAAATACACAATTGAAAAAATACACAATATGCTACGCTAGTGCTACACACAGACAGAGATAAAAAACAATATGTATGTCATAAATAAAAAAAATATATAAACAATAAAAAGTCCACAAAAGGTTGAATTTAAAATTGAGTAACTGTTGACGGAATAAGAGACAACTATTGGTTAAAAGAATAATTAAAATACTCATCGAGCGAATAGAAAGCTGGCTTCACTAGTGCTCCCTTTAAGGTTTTGCGAAACTTTGAGATACTTGATATGGTTTTGAAATTTGAAGGCAGCTGATTATAGATCTTTACTTATGCTATTATAAATTATTGCATTTTGCACCAAAGCCGAATGGGGGATCGGAAGAGGAATGTCATGCCTTTGACGAGTTAAGCAAGCTCTCTGATGAACAGGAAACATTGCAATGTTTTTGTGTATTAAACTCGCGGTCTCTAATATAAAAAGACGGTAATGTTAAAATTTCATATTTGATGATTTGATATATATAGGTATTTAGATTTTGAGAAAGCCTTTGATAAGGTACCACATCAGTTGCTTTTGCATAAATTGGAGAACTTTGGCGTGAGGGGCAAACTTCTAGATTTAATTCACCAATTTCTCAAAAATAGATTTTATTGTGTAAAAGTAAATGGTACCTTCACAGCGAAATATCCAGTTCTTAGCGGAGTTCCCCCAGGGTCTGTGTTGGGCCCATTGCTCTTTCTTGTGTATATCAGCGACCCCTCGTGGAATATTCGGACCAATATGATATTTTTTGCAGATGAAACTCTACTGCAACCCACTGACACAAGAAGAGGACCTTTCCTCGGACGTAAATAAAATCGTGAGATGGTCCAAACTGTGGGGTATGAAAATGAATGAAACGAAATGCTCAGTGTTGCACATGGGTCCAAATAACCCACTAGCCAGATACCACCTCAATAACATGGCTCTATCATCAGTTGAAGAACAAAACGATTTAGGTTTTATTATTTCAAATGACCTAAAATGGGAGAAACATATCAATAAGATCATCAAAAAAGCAAATAAATTCATTTTTTTAATACGGAAAACATTGAAAGGCCATTCAGTAAATATCATTATCATTAATTTGCTCTATAAATCCTACATAAGACCCAAGTTAGAATATGCTTATAGCGTCTGGAATACCTACGACGCCAAGGATATTGAGTCCTTGGAGAAGGTGCAGAGACGCGTTACTAAAATTCCGTTAGAATTGAGGAACAAACTGTATAGTGACAGACTAAAACCTCTAAAGCTAACAACTCTCAAAGAAAGAAACCCTGGGATTTAATCGAAACTTATAAAATAACTAATTACTATTATTCGTGCTATTTAACAAACATTTTTCATTTCAATAATAATCATTATTTCAGAGGTCTCTCAAAAAAACTTTCCAAAGAGAAATCCGCGAAATTTCCTAGAAAAAACTTAAGTTCTAATCGAATAGTGTATACATGGAACTCTTTGGAGGCGGATACAGTTGGTGCGTCTAGTGTGAATCAGACTTGATCAATGGATACGGGAATCCACCTCAAGACTAGTCTATTATGAACCATAGAAATAGCTTTTGAGAAAGCCTTCTCTTTTATAGTGCAATACATCAAATACGTGTGCTTAGACAATTTGGCAAGGTGGTAGAAATTGGGAAAAAACTACTTTTTATGACAGTTTCTATTTTTTTTCGGGGGGTTGCAGAAAGGAATTGGGGGTACAATATAGGAATTTTTGAATAGAAACCCTACTAGAATACTTAATCTCTGAAAATTTGAACACGCTTACATTAGCTGTTCAGATAATATAAAGGTGTGTTTTTTAGGGAATGAAACCCCGTATTTTAAAAATGCGCAATAGCCCATTTATAAAAAATATACCAAAATTCAGTTATACATCTGTGATAAATAGCTGCAGGTTTTCAGTTCGATTCGCATTTTTATTGACGGAAAAAAAATTGTTTTGCAGAAGCATGTTTTTTCAAAAGTAGTCAACTTTGGGGCGCCACTCCGGCTATAGGCTAGGTGATGGACCTATGCTGTCGCTGAAGAAATTGTAGGGAATATAGTCCTCTATAATTTACCATAAACGTTTTTTTGTGTACAACGCACTGGAAGGGCTACAGCACCCCAAAATCTATCGGAAAAAAAAACCCGACTACCATTAATTTTGTTTAGTATCACCTTCGTTTCCTGGGCTCTTAAGCGTATTTTTTCTTTAAGCATGGATTAAATTCGCAATTTTACTTTTTTGGATGCATGATTTTCGATAAGCGTTACATTTGATAGAAAAATCTTCTAGTAATTTCTTATGCCCTGTGGAAATAGTTCTGTCATATTTTTTATGTAGTTTCCAAGCTACGCTTCTAAATAAAGGACCCCGCCCAAACCTTTTGGAAAATTGATCTAAGTGGCAATTCTCTGAATTTTTTATATTGTTTAGAGGAAGTCTTCCTGATTAAAAGTTACCATTGCGCTAGAGTTTAATAAGCAATAGTTTATGAGATATTGGCCAATGATACTGGAAAATAGATATTTCATTTGTGTTGGGTAGAGTGTTGCATTTTTGTATGCAAACAATAACCCCTGTTTGAGTAATATTCAATGTATTTTAAAATTATTTCTATTAAAATTTCTAAAAAAGATATATTTAAATTCGTAATTTATTTTCATTTTTTCATACATGACAAGCTATTTCAGAATCTGAATAATCTAAAAAGGAAGCTGCACTATCCTATCATATCCATTTATTACTTATAGATGTTTTAAATATTTTGGAAGTATTATTTGAGTAATATCTCCCATTATTTCAAATACTTTCAGTTTTACTTCCCTGAAGTCAACAATTAATTATTATTGGTTGTGAATTCATATCTGAACTAAAATCTGCACTAATCGGCGAGTTAGTTAATGGCTGTAACAAAAAAGAGCTGCTCAAATAAATGACCTGCGGGTCCTTATTCTTGAACGAGTGTTCCGTCTTTCTCAATGATATGCAAATGATTATATAAGTTACAAAAACAGAACACTCGTTCTCTTTCACCATTCTCCTGGGAAGGCTGCTCCCCACATTTGATAAAACCGAGGATGAAATATTTATTCCAGCTTACTAAAAATAAATTCGACTGAGGATTTAACCTAAGATTTTTTCTTATAGGTCAAGAAAAAATCCATTGGAAAATGATACTTACAGATTCAGTAGAACCCCGGTTATCCGAGGTAACGCGGGGGAGTATCCCCCACGGATAACTGAAAACTCGGATGATCCGAATCTACATACATGTATATGTATTATGTATGTATATTCTAGAAACTCGGTTAATACGGAGAATGGACGTGCGTACCTCGGATAATCAGGATTTTTGGGTCTTTAGACTGGCTTGGTTAATCCAGAGCTCGGATAATTGCGACATGGATAATCGGAGTTCTACTGTATTATATGCCATCTACATACTAGTTTTTATTAATAATTATTTGTGTTGCCCATTAAGTAAATATTAATTTTACTCTTGTTTAACTTCATCTTCCATTTCAAAAATAAATAAGCCAAACACTAATTATTGGTAGATACCAGAGATAGACATAGATTACAGATAACCGAGCAGTTAACTGAATACATAATTATTGTACTGACAAGGCTAAAGGAGGCTCTAGACGCAAAATCCAACAAACCAGTAAATATAATTTCTGACAAGTCCTTTTAGGTCCTGCCCAATGAACTGTCCTGCCTCTATGGTCCTGCCAAGTCCTGTATGGGTCATGTCAAGTCCTGCCAGGTCCGGTCAGGTGCTACCAGGTCCTGTATCAGTCCTGCAGCTAATTTTGTACACCTCCTGCTGGATCTGTTCACTCCTCGCTTTTTAAAATAACCAAAATTAAAATATTTGAGTTCAACAACATATATGACCCACAGATTAGCTCATCTGAAAAACTACAACAATGGAATCTCCAACACTTGTCCGGATTGTGGTATTAGATTATTACATGTCTCCCCCACTACCTGGCTTGGATGTTGTTTATTCTGAATTCCGCGGTGCCTCCATCAACCAAGTACCAATCCTGAGGTGCTTTGGATCCAGTGAAGATGGTGAGAGAATAACGCCCTCAATTTATATAACTATTATATTACTCTAATCATGCCTAGGCAAAAAAATATGTGTACACATTCATGGAGTGTTTCCTTACTTGTACATTCCTTTTGATGGTAAAGAGAATCCAGATCAGGTTATGTATCAAATAGCTACTGCTCTAGATAGGGCTATAAATATATCTTTTAACCAGGCTAGTTCCAATACACAACATGTTTATAAGATTTCCTTAGTGTCTGGCATGTAAGTACAAAGCAAAGTTTTATTCAAAAGTTTCTATGGCTTTTTTTTAGTCCGATGTACGGATATCATCCCAAGAAGCATCTGTTCTTCAAAATCTACCTGTACAATCCCATGTTGATATCAAAAGTAGGGGCACTTCTGAACAATAAAAACATACTAGACAGAGTGTTTCAGCCTCATGAAAGTCATCTTAATTTTACTCTACAATTTATGATAGATTATAATCTTCATGGAATGAGTAATATGCTAATATCTGAAATATTGTATAGAATAAATCCTGAATGTGAAACTGCTGATATAAAGCACTGTAAGTTTTTGCCTGGAAATATTGAAAAAACAACACTATGTGAGCTAGAAGCAGATATCAATGCAGAAAGTATTCTCAATAGACAAGAGATTCTAAGCGGGAAGTTGGCAGTTAATCCAGGAATAGCAGCTCTGTGGGAAGACGAGAAGCAAAGACGTCGAAATAAAAATGAAGAATCGCAGTTAGGAAATTTTCTTTCTTTGGAAAAGATGCAAGTCGATCCTACTAAAACCCATCTTATATTTCAGCAGGCACTTAGGGAAAGATTGGCAGTTCTTTCAATCGATAAAGATAACATGCCAAAGGTAACTTTATTATAGTTTACAATAAAACAATAATTATATTCGCTTTTACAGCTAAACCCTAATGTTTCTGTGTATCCTGCTGAAACTCCCACTGATTCAATAATCCAGAACGCCTCCATCATTGATATTCATTCGTCGTCTTCATTAGAATTGTCTTTGGATGATACACTGAATATAACTTGTAGCCAACTCAATGAAACTATCACACCAAATGGCAATAATGTTACTATGGATGAAGTTGCTCAAGATTTTATTCGCATGCTTGTGGCAATGGCAGATGAATCGGTAAGGTAACACATCTATATATTTCATTTTCACACCTCTACATATTCTTGAGTTTGCGAGGACTTGTTTGTTGTATTTAATTGGATTTTTAGGTAACGGACCAAGGAGATGAAAGTATTTTATCTCAAAAAGTCCCAGAGGAACAAAACGACGACTCAACTGAAGATTTATTAGATCTAAGCATGCCTTTGGCAGCTCTTACCACCCCAATTAAAGTGAATTCTAATTGGACATTGCATGAAAATAGTGATGCGGATGATATAGATTTGAACACAACTTTGATCCCACAAACTGATGGTCAAGTAGATTCACTGGATCCTGAAAATGAATGTGTTGAAAAACTGGTGAGTTTTTATTACAGTTTTCAAGCATGCTATTAATATATTAGACTCTATGTTTATTTTCTTCCTTTTAGCCAATGCCACTTTTAGATACAAGTGAATGTGGATCAAATTTTGCTAAACATAAAAGTGAATATTATGATGAATTAGAAAAAGTCAAACTGAAACTGCTGGTAAAAATTGAACGCTTGGATATCGAGGAGTTATTGAGAAAAGCTCCTAAAATTCGAAAGATTAGAGCATGGGAGAGACATAGTTCAGAGGAAAATTTTAATGAAACATTGAAGTTAATGCGTTACAGGATGGAAAAACTCAATAGAAAAAATAAAGTTAAAAAAATTGGATCAGTATTGAGGAAAAATTACTGTAGCTCTTCTATAGGATTATTTGGAAAACGTAAAAAGCCTAAATTTTGGAATTTGCCTGCACAAAAAGGGTTTTTGGGTAAGTTTTTAATATTGCTGTTTAGGCCGAGGTTTAAGTATCTAATGAGATTTTTTAAAATTTATTATGTTGTAGCAGGTATTGTTAGTTAGAATAAAATAGGTCATTTATGTTGCTGTACCGTTTTGAATATTTGACCAATAAATTTGTTTTCATGTCTTCTTTTGGACTCTCAAGGAAAGTTGATATCGCAACTGAAATTAAACAACATTTATCACTTTTAGATGAACTACTGGATAAGAGCACGAGTCAAACATCATCATACATCTATTTAAATTGTGATGGCGCTATGGATTCTAGTACCGATGAAGAAAACCCGCCAAAAAAGAAAGTCCTAAGAAAACGGGTACGGTCTTATACTCCTTTGGGACTAACGGTTACGAGTTCGCCAAGGATCCGCAAAAACTACCAAGGTGGTAAGATTCCATATTATTTTCTTGATTATTGATTATTTTGATTAATTTGTTTGCTATTTTTTGGTAGGCCCTTCTGAAAATACAATTGAAATATCTGGAAAAAATAAAGAGTGAGTGTCTTTTTTTTTGTTAGATTATAGTGTAGATGTTTTCGGTTCAACATACTTTATTTGGTTTCGAAGCTTACTAAAGACCATGAGCATTTGATATAAAATTGGATGAATTTACAGGTTGAGTAAATTGATAGTACTTAATTTCTCAGATGTTTCAAATAAGATCGTTCTATACACATAGGTAGTTTCATTGTCCATAAGATTTTAACTAATATTTCCGACTTATTGATTAATACTAAATTTATTACTCATTTGTTTTTTTCCAGGTGCCAAGAAAATCTGCTTCCAGTTACCCAAGCACCAGTAGTAACCCCCATTCCCTATAAACGTAAACTGTTCACCAAAAACGAAACAATTTTGAACCATACAATGTTGGAGGAATTTAAAGCTTGTTCATATTCACCTAAACCATATATGACTGGAAAAACACCTAAAGATGCAACAGAAACTGTGGAATCGAATAAATCACAATCTTTCAAGAATTCATCAAGTAGTGATTCCGACCTATTCTCAGAAAATGAAGGCATAAATAGATCATTTTTCAGATCATATAATTTAACTATATCTGAAAAATATGACAGCGAAAACAAGTACAAGGCAAAGCAAGGCTGTTCAACAGTCTTTACGCCTAACAGCTTTCCTAATTCAATATCTAGCTTGAAAAATGAAGCAATATCAGGAAATGTTAGTTCAGATATAACACCTTATCAAGAAGAAACTGTCAACAGTCAAAAAAGGCAACAAGTTGGAAGTATTTTCAAACCCTCATTTAAAGCACCTACAATAGAACATGTGAGAGCATCTTTATCAAAATACAAAATCCCTCATGTTAAGCAACAAGAACCATTTTATAGCAACGTCGACGACTATACAGGAACCGTTGAAATTGGCCATAGATTAATGCGAGTAGCTAGCAGAACGACTGCTCACCTTCTAGAATTTGATTCGGAATTTGATGGTTTAAATCAGCACAGAAATTTTTTTATAGAAAATGTGGCTAATCTCAAGTATAATTCTAATAATATCAATAGTTTAAAATTAGCTCATTGTACTAATAAAAATGTGATTTTATGTCCTTTGAAGAAACCGCCTCTATCGAAAGAGGTTATGAAATGGGTAAAAGCACAAAATTTAGATGAAGAAATAATTTCATCACCTGAAACAAAAACTACAAAAAGCAAGGTATATATTCCAAACAGTCCTGGTGGTGGTTATGATTCTGATTCAGATTTGTCTTTGACTTTAACACCATACTCAGCATCTGATAATGACTCTTCATCAGTAACTATAGCAGATCGTAGGAAAATAAAATGCAAAAAGAAACCCTCAATAGGCTCGGTCCTGCTTAGCCAAGAAGCTAACAAGTCTTGTCAAATTAGCGGCATGTCTCATCATAATAGTTACGGTTTTGATGTATCGGTTCAAAATTTGCAAGCTGCTAGGGCTATTAGACAACACCAATTTTTAACAACAATGATAATGGAATTGCACATTCGAACTCGTGGCGATTTAAAGCCTGATCCACAATTTGATAATATTTGCGCCATCTTTTATTCAATATATAATGATGTACCTGAAAGTGATTTGAAGAAATCCAGAACTAGAGGTGTGATAGCTGTGAATGTGCTTCCAGCGGACGGAAGAGCTTCTAGGCAGGATTTTTTAAACGGAATTAGTGAAAGAGACTGTGATATAACTTATGTAGATAATGAAGAAGTTTTAATTAATAATTTCTTAATGGTTATCAAATATTGGGATCCAGATATTTTGGCTGGCTATGAAATTGAAATGTTATCTTGGGGCTACTTAATGGAAAGAGCATCTGTTTTATCCATTAATGTATTGACATCCCTTGGACGTAGTCAGCTACACAAATATGGCAAAATAAAGTTAAAAAATAATAGGCCTGATATGGACACAAAAATTATTGGTAGAATTGTTTTAGATGTTTGGAGAATTATGAGACATGAAATTGCCTTGCAAAGTTATACATTTGAGTCTATAGTGTATCATATACTTCACAGACGCGTGCCTATGTACCAATTTAAAAATTTAACTTTCTGGTGGGATCATAAAACTAATTTATATAGGCACAGAGTTATAAGATATTATTTGCAACGTGCAGATACTGTGCTAGAATTATTTGAAAAATTAGACTTTTTAAATCGTACCAGTGAACTCGCAAGATTGTTTGGCATCTTGTTTTATGAAGTTTTATCAAGAGGCACTCAGTTTAGAGTGGAATCCATGATGTTGCGTCTAGCAAAGCCTTTAAACTATGTTCCAGTGTCTCCAGAGATTGAACAAAGAGCGCGAATGAAAGCTCCAGAATATATTGCACTAGTTATGGAACCTGAATCCAAATTATATACGGACCCAGTAATTGTTTTAGATTTTCAAAGTTTGTATCCTTCTATTATGATTGCCTATAATTATTGTTTCACTACTTGCCTTGGTAGAATTAGTAGCCTTGGAACTAATCATCCTTTTGAATTTGGAGCAACACAGCTGAAAGTTTCTAAAAAAATTGTTGAAAAACTATGCAAGAGAGATTTGATAAATTATTCTCCATGTGGAGTAGCATTTGTTAAACAAAAACTTCGAGAAGGAATTCTACCGAGAATGTTAAAAGAGGTCATAGACACAAGATTGATGGTAAAAAATTCGATGAAAGAAAACAAAGGGGATACTAATTTGCAAAAAGTGCTCCACAATCGTCAGTTGGGGTTGAAATTAATTGCAAATGTCACTTATGGATATACGGCGGCTAATTTCAGTGGGAGAATGTGTTGTGTGGAAGTTGGAGACAGTGTTGTAAGTAAAGGGAGAGAAACTTTACAACGAGCTATAGCTATGGTGGAAAGTACGCCTGAATGGGAAGCTAAAGTAAGTCAAAAATACACTTAACAAATTACGCAAAAAAAACTTTTACACCAAAAAAAAAAAATAGAATAATCACTTTGAAGAACAAAAAAAATAATATATCTTTGAAAAATCTCCTAAAACGCTAGTAGTACTATAGTGGTCTCCAGTTAGCAATATTATTGTTACTTCCTCTTTCCAATATATACATATTTGGGAGAATGTTATTTTCATGGTTCTGTTTCTGCATCATTTAGTCAGTTTTGATTGGTTCAATCTAATCAGAAAATTGATGGCAAACTGGCTTCTACCAATAAAAATCGTTCTAGCTGCATTGTTTTTTTCTTTAACTAGAATCAATTTTATCTTTCATTTAGGTTGTTTATGGAGATACTGACTCCATGTTTGTACTAGTCCCTGGCAAAACTCGAGCAGAAGCGTTTGAAATCGGTAAAAAAATTGCAGATGCAGTAACAGCAGATAATCCAGATCCCATTAAGCTAAAACTGGAGAAAGTTTATCAACCTTGCATATTACAAACGAAAAAACGATACGTGGGTTATATGTATGACGGCCCCGACCAGAAAGAACCAGTTTATGAAGCCAAAGGTATTGAGACTGTTAGAAGAGATGGGTGTCCAGCTGTTTCAAAGGTAAGCATTTATCAAAAATACTTCCAATACAAAAAATTCTTACTGTGATATTTTTAGATGCTTCGAAAATGTCTTACTTTACTATTTGAAACGAAAAACGTAAGTCTAATCAAAAACTACGTCTTGAAACAATTTATCAAAATCCAAACCGGCCGGGCTAGTATACAAGATCTTACTTTTGCCAAAGAATTCAGAGGTGCCAGCGGTTATAAACCTGGAGCTTGTGTACCAGCTTTAGAGTTAGCTCGGTAAGTTTTAAAAGCAATTTTTCGTTTGAAAATTAATACATTTTCAACTAGTAAATGGACTGCAGTTGACAGACGTAACGAGCCAAGAAATGGTGAAAGAGTGCCTTATATTATAGTTAATGGTCCACCTGGATTGCCTCTTATTCGTCTAGTTAGGAGCCCTAGAGATCTTTTAAATGATAATTCATTGAGACCTAACGCTCTGTATTATATTACCAAAGTAATTATACCGCCGATTAATAGGTGTCTCAATTTAATTGGAGCAGATTTGAATGTTTGGTAGGTTGACAATTCATCAAGCATCAAAAATATTTATTATACAAATGTTTTCAGGTTCAATCAGATGCCTAGGAAAAATACTCAATATCTCCCGAATTCTTCTCCGACAATTAAAAGTACAATAGCTCAGTATTTTGCCACGAAAATTTGTGCCAGTTGCACTGAACCAACGCAGGACGGTATTTGTACCAAATGCTGCAAAAGACCAAATGTGACTGCTCTAATTTTGCTGGAAAAATTGAAGAAATGGGAGGAAAATTATCACAACACTTTATTGGTAAGTAATTTATTTATAACGACAAAGGATGCCATTTATACACAAAACGACAAATGCTCTCTTTGAGATCTGCGCAAGGATCTGTGTCAAGTTTTTTTTAGGTTTTTCACTTTTTGAGCATTTTTTCCATTTCTAAAATTATTGTCCAATACTTTTCTGGCTTTGATAATTATTCTATAAATTAAACCACATCCATAGCATTGAAAACACATTACTGATTGTTAGTGCTCTTGCTCTTGTACCTACATAATATTGGAGGGGGTCAGGTGGACTTTGTATAAACTTGAAAATAGCCTTTGGTTGTATCTGCAATAAAGTACTTTCTATTTCCAGAGTAGAGTGTAAAGAGTTATGGGGTATCCTTGGTTGTTTCTCACAAATTTCATTTGTAACCAGTCTTCTTTCGACAATATTTTGATATGATAATCCTCATAAATATATCAAGCCCACATTGACCAAACGACTTATTATTTCAGTCTTTGTTACCATTAACGCGTACACATCACTGCGTCGTTTTTCGTTTTTTTCCTGGTTCCAAAGTGATAGTTAATTTGTGAAATTTTGCAACGGTTGTGCTTCGTCTGAATCGTTCGTGTATTCAACAGCCGCAGCTTGGGTATTTTTAGTTTGTTAACGCAAAATTATTTATAAATTTGGTTTCTTCTCATTCTTATTAAAGAATTACTTAAATGTCAATTTCGTGTAAAACACACAGGAGTGTATTTTCTACGACCCTGCGCCGACCGAGACAGCCGTTAAAGATTTGGATTTACACACACTAGATAAATGGTGCTTTATATGCACGTTGCAATTTTTTCCGGTTCCGTGTTTTAAGCTCGAAAAGTCTATGTCTTGTGCCGTTAAAAAGGGACCTTGAGTGCCTTAAGTCGATGCTGATACGTTGATGTTTGTGGAGAACCGTTTTCCAGGGGATCTCCGTATATACACACAGCTTATAAGAAAACCCAGGTGAGTGGAAATATCTTTTGTGTGTTTCGACAACCCTATGGTATCATTTTCATTTCTATTTCTATTTGTTTGCGCGATTTTCCAGTCGCAGTCCAGTTTACTAAATTTCAAATACTATTGCGTAGACAAGTTATTTATCCAATTGTTCTCAGTCCACATTGCTTTGAAATCATCAAGGCTACTTGGATAAAAAATTGAATTATTTGAATACATTTATTTGGATAAAAAAAAAAATAACTGCAACAATTGGTATAAATTTCAAGAAGCAAAAAGATCTATAGTGCATTTCAAGTAAATTAAACTCCGTTTTACCTGGGATTGCTACCATAATTTCTCTGTATCACATAACATTCAGTTTTGTGGCTCGAGTTATTGTAGAGCCCGTTTCACCTTGTCGACTCAGCATAATGTCAGCATGCTCAAAATGTAGTATCGATTTAACAGAGAAAGAGGTGGAATATAAGATAATCTGTGACTTCTGTGGTGTCTGGAATTGCTTGGCCTGTTCAAAATGCTGAACCTCAAAGGCTCAGGTGACACGGTTAAAGTCCAGAGTTATGTTTTATGCATTCAGTGGCTGTGTAAATTCCGTCAAGTCACTTGGAAATAATGTTGGCGTGGCTTGAGATTGCTTATCAAGGATGTCACCAGTAAGGTGTGTGACACACTACAATAAACTTGCAAGTATAAGCTCAAGGGTATGAATTCATCCCTACAAAACAAGCTGACAGCTAACTAGGATGATTTAAACTCAAGTCTGAATGTTGTTACTACCAGCGTTGGTGAACTCAAAGCCACTCTTTCTTCACTGGAAAAGTCAAACACTGTTGCAGACGATAATCTTGCGGAAATAAATAATGCCAGCCCAACTCAGCAGCATCTGCTCTTCATAATATTAAGATAAAGGGGCTGGAACAAAGTTACAAAGATTTACAGACTAGACTGCTCAAGCTTGAAAATGAGCTCCAGCTACTTACTGCAATGCTGAATTCCATAAAAACTGTATAAAACTCCTCAGGTTCTTCGCCAACCCCGTCTCAATTCCTACCTACTCTACAGTCAGTGCCCATTAGGAATGAATCAAGAAGCTTTTATTCATCCAATAATTTGCAACTAACTGGTCAGCAAAAGTCCCAGCGACCAGTCCGCAGCATAGAGCGTCAACTAGTGCCTAATCCAGTAAGAGTATCAGAGCGCTCATGTAACAATCCTGGTGCCGACAGAGGTCTTTTCTCTGCAGGTGAAAAGCGTCAGTGGCTATATCTGGGTCGATGTGATCCGAGTACCACCGAAAAACAGATCTCTGACTATTCGAAGGATCAACTTTCCATTCCTGATGTCAAATGCTCGGTATTGGACAAAAATGACGATGTGGTTCCATTTAAAATTGGGTTTAAAGAATCACTTTTAAAGGGCCTGTTAGATCCAAACCTCTGGCCTGTAGGCATTGCTGTCAATGAGTTTCATCCTCGTCGTATGGGGGCAAAACCCTCCACAGCAAATTTTCAGAGGAAAGAAACAGGGGACCAGTCTCATTAGATTGTGCTACCTTTCTGTACCAAAATGTAAGAGGCCTAAAAACTAAACTTTCTGTGCTACTCGCGCCGAGTCTTTCTCAGTATTTGCACTTACGGAAACCTGGCTGGACTGTAGTATCTGTGATGCTAAATTTCTTGACTCACGTTACACGGTTTATCGCTGTGGTAGGAGCAGTCTAAACAGTGCTGAAAGCCGTGAAGGTGGGGTGCTTCTGGCAGTAAATAATTGCTTTAAATATCATCGTCTGTCAATAATTGGTGAAGCATCGGTGGAGGAAACATGGGTGTCAGTTACGCTAGGTGACTTGGTCTTCTGTATTGGCTGTGTCTACATTCCACTTACCATGGATGTTTCGTATTATGAAAACGACTTGAAATCAGTTGCGAGTGCCTGTGAAATGTTTTGTGCTTGTTCTTGAAGATTATAATCTTTCTCAAATAACGTGGTCCTCTAGTGAGGATCTCTCTGGTTTATTACCTGGAAATGTAAGGTCAACTAAGGAAATATTGGTATGTGATGGTACTCTTAATCTGTCTCAATACAATGGGGTGACTAACGATCATAATTCAATCCTTGATCTATGCTTTGCCAACTTTGAGCTTGTTTCAATTGTAATATCTGACGGTCTGGTGGGCTATGATCATTATCACCCAACTCTGGAGTTTTCGAGGGAGTTTTCCATACCTGTTTATAAAGCTAAATTTCTGAAGCCTTTTAATTATTTTTCATATGACCTTAAAAATGCCAATTACGATGTAATTAATGAATATTTTCTTTCCTTTAATTGGTGATCCATTATGACTGAAGATCTAAAGGAAACTGTTAGTAACTTTTACTCGGTGCTGTTCGACTGCTTTAATATGTTTGTTCCCAGAAAGAGACAGCGATAAATTTCCTAATTGAACAATGAGTTACTGGGCAATATGACGGAAAACGAAACATATAAATACCTCGGATTCCAACAAAACACCAGAATAAACCACACATATATCAAAACACAATTGACGAAGCAATATAAACAAAGATTTCGAGCCGTATTAAGAACGCCACTGTATTCAAATAACCTCTTCAAAGCCATTAACACATTTGCAATACCAATACTTACATACTCCCTTGGTATAATTAAATGAAGCCAAACAGACTTAGAAAGTCTCCATACCTTTACTAGATCAGAGCTCACCAGACACAGAAAACTACATCCCAACTCTTGCAAAGAAAGAGTAACAATCAGCAGAAAAAAAGGAGAAAGAGGAATGATAGATATTCAAGCGCTACACACAAAACAAATCCAACAACTTCGGATATTCTTCCTTGGGAAACAAACACCACTCCACCAAGCAGTCTGCAAAGCCGACAAAAACTACACACCCTTAAATTTATCCACAACCATTCATTCATCAGATACATTCAACCAAACACAAAATATAGAGGAAAAACTTAATATAGGGACAACAAAACAGCTCCATGGAAAACACAGATATAATATACAACACAGCCACATATCAAAAGAACTCTCTTATAAATGGCTCGAAAATGGAAACCTCTTCCCTGAAACAGAAGGATTTCTCTTCGCAATACAGGATCAAATCATAGCTACACGAAACTACCGAAAATACATAATAAAAGACTCAAACGTATGTACCGACACCTACAGAAAATGTAATCAATCCAAAGAAACCATGGATCATATCACTGGTGGATGTAAAATATTAGCGGGTGTAGAATACACCGAAAGACACAACATGGCAGGGAAAATTATTCATCAAGCACTCTCAAAAACATATAAACTCATCACAGACGAAACACCATACTACAAATACTCCCCAACCACGATCATAGATACCAACGAATACAAACTGTATTGGGACATAGAAATCCGCACTGATAAAACAATAACATGCAATAGACCAGACATCGTTTTTCAAAAGAACAAATAACCTATCTTATAGACATATCCATACCAAATGACCCCAATATTCAGACCAAATATAATGAGAAGATATCAAAGTATACGGAACTAGCCATAGAAGTTCAGAGACTCTGGAAACAGAAAAAAGTTATAATCATACCATTCATCATCTCAACCACAGGCATCACCGCACATATCTTCAATACACATCTCGAGCAACTCGGCCTCAATCCTAACATTCACATAAACATACAAAAGGCTGTTATTCTTAAAACCTGCACTATAATACGCTCATTCCTCAATTCGGGCAATAAACTCTGAGAAGACTTGGTAAGAGCCCGTTATCTCAGAAACACCACTTTGTGCAAAGTGAGAATAAGAGAGAAAATAATAATAATAGTAATAATAATAATAATAATAATAATAATAATAATATACCAGCCAAAGATTTAAAACCACCTTAAAGAGTGCAGAGGTAGACTATTTATTACGTCTACATATGCATAAGCCATTGCACAGTGTTTTCTTTAAAACCATTGAAAACACTGGCTTATCCAAAAAGCTAAGCTTTGCATTCTTGAGG